ATATATATTAACACAAATATAAAATTTGAGTCGAAATTATTGATTTGGCCAAACTCATATCTACTACATTGACTTCATCCTCGTCAAAAGTCTTTAAAAAGTTTTAAATTTTATGCATGAACGACGTAAACATAATGAGAAATCACTAACAAGACAATTGCAGGCTAATGTATTTAGTGATCAAGAATTTTTAAAGTTTAAAATATTTTTTGTATTTTTTTTTTCTAGTTATGTATACATGCGATCGGCAAAATCAAATACGTACTTACGCATTATATAATATGAAATTCCTACTAGCCTCTAAGTTCCATCCTAATTAAGGTCCCACTCCAATTTTTAATTATAAAAATTAATCATTGAATAATTAAAATGAGCTAAAATATTACTTGAAACTTAGCAAATTTCAGAATAATATCTTCAATTTTAATTTATTTTTTTCCAGCTTAAGTGCTATATCCAATTCAAATAATGACATATATCATTCTATATTTTGTGAAATAATATGGAAATGTGATGCAAGTAAATTCAATTCAATTTTAAAAAGAAAGAAACTTCAATAATATCCTCAATATTTTTTCTATTTCTTAAATTTTTTAAACATAAGTATATTGCTTATTATTAATTTCAACACTTCTTATTCACAACTATTTATTTATAATAAAATTAATGTCAGAATTGAAAAGTTTTTATCAACCTGTAGTATTTACCAATTTTTTATATATATATATATATATATAAAATCCTCTATAATAATTTTGTTATAAAAGTTAAGTATGTATTTATATAGAATCGATCTTTTATATTATGTTACTACATTTTATGACAAATCATAAAATATTCAGTATTATAACAGGTTGGGGGTTATGGGAGTGGGGGGTGGGGAGCTGTCATCTTTACCAACTTTTCTTGAGTCTGTAAATTACTACGTTTTCAGTTCCTTTCTCTAGGTATGTCTATTTTGACTACATCTTTGTTCCCTTCTTAACCCCACCACCCCCACAAAAACACCTCACTATTTTCTTCATCATCATCTTCATGTCTATTTTCAAGAATTAATTTTTTAAGACTTCCAACTGTAAGTCCTTTTTCTCTGATCTATACTCATATATTGTTTTAATTATCGACTGTGGTTTCATATTTGTTCATTATGCTACAATATGTTTGTTTCTTGGACTAATTTGATCTGAAAGTGGTCAATCAAGCTTAAAAATTGAATCTTGATGGATTAAATCTAGACGGGTTTGACTAAAAATTCAATCTTTATGTGTTACAGCCAAAGGAGATGTGTAATTTAGTGTATAGATGAGAAGAATTTTGTCTTAGTGATGTTAAAATCATGCGATTTTGGAGCTTGATTGTAGAAATATGGGCTTCATCTGGATTCAGTCAACATGATGAGTATGCTGAAATTATTCTGAAATTTTATAATTTGTTATACTGATATTGAGATTTAGAATTTGTTCAAATTTGGATAATTTATATCAAAAATAGTTAAAGAGGGTAGAGGAGAAGGGGTGTGTTTGTTTGGTGAGGGGGGATCAGGCTTACTGATGTAGTACCAAATTGTAGGAAATTAAAGTATGAGTTAAGCGATTTTAGTTATCGGGTATTTGAGCTAGTATCTGGAGATTTTGCATCTTGAAATTGCTCTTGCTATATCCAGAATGCAGACATTTTACTTTCTCTTGAAGTTTGTGTACTTCTTGCGATAGCTAAGCTGGTTTAATTTCCAAAGTCTAACTTCTAGTGGATTTACCACACTGTGAAGTAGTAGCTTAGTGGGTCTGAGGTCAAGGTGAGCCAAAGAGTGTTAAGGCAAATAATGCTTCATTTGAGACTTCTGCTTCAGCTTCAGTAGATTAAGCTCTGAAATTGTTACATATTGTAAGATGAACTGCTATGTAAGAAAGCTAAACCGGAGAATATAATTACCCTATTGCCACAGTGGATCAAGAGCTGAAGAGCGTACCGAGAGACAAAAACAACAGGTCAGGCACCAACACAATTTTGAGTGAAGAAAGAGAATAATACCATTGGTCCATTTCATTAATTACCGAATCGGTTCAAAATGGTTATAAATGTATTTGTGGAAAACTTGACCTCTTGGCTTGATGCTGTTATTGACTATTTAGAACTCAGGTTAAGTGGTTAACGGAATTGGAGCCAAGACTATTTCCTTCACTGCAGAAACTCTAGTCATATATGGCAACTTCTGGGAAAGTGGGGCTAAGATGTTTTAATGCGCCACTTTCTTAAGAATTTTTCATATGGATCATATAACCAAGTGCTTTTATCTGCATTAACCATCTTAACATCCGAGGTAAGACATTCAGAGTGATTCTTTAATCAGTGGGAGAGTCTCCGTAACTTTGTATTGCAATAAGAGGGGTTTAATAACAAGATTGCCTCTTTCCATCCCCTCTATTCATGTGATATTAGACTCAAGATATTACATCAACAGTCAACGGTAGATAGAAAATAGGAAGAGTGATAGAAATTAAGAGATATAGAAGCTAGAAAGGATTTAGTCAAATAAGTGAAAGCAAAAATTAAGCATTCAATTAGATGATTGTAATCCAAATGAGAAGGGAAATTGAACTCATACAAGGGAATGCTTATCCAAGTAATCAAGAGGGTTCAATAGGAGAGATTAAAGGGTCTTTCCCGTAACTCGCAAAAAGAGCCTAAACATCTCATGTTCATCCAAAAACTAACTAATAAACTAACCCTACTTTCTGCTATTCATAATAGTAGATAAACTAACCTAAGCTAGTTACAATAATAACTTTGAGCTAAAAACAAGGAAATTGTTTAGCTAGCCAGTTAGCTATTTAAAATGTAGCTACCTCTTGCTTAAACCTCCACTTTACTATGTTGTAGACCTTCCGTGCTTCATTCATTGATCTTCTAGAGTCTTCAAAGCACTTCAAATCTAGTTGACAGTCTTCATATCCATGATGCTTAATCCATATTCCATCATCTATCCATCCTTTCCCCCAAAAAACAATGAAAAACTAAAAGAGAAGTATAGATTTGCTAGGTGGAATTGTTAAGTACTAATACATAAGTTAACTGTTCATGTTGGAATTTTTTTTGTTCAGATTACCTTTTCCATTATTCTAAACATGTCCTAATTTGGCTGTTCTCAGTATTTTGGCAAAAGAAAATAGAAGTGGTCCTTATATTAACTTGTAATGTTTTTTCTTTTTTCGAATTTCCATGTGGGAAACAAATTTCGTGCATTTTCATCTCCTGTTGGTTTTGTTGAAATTGAATAAAATCTAAGATGCAAGGCACCCTGGCAGCAGTTGTTTTCATGTTTTGGACTTTTTGTGGCATAAAGCGGCGGATGGTCACAATGTTTTGAATCCTTATCCAACGATTGGTATCATGCAATTATTGTGATCCTACAGAGGGACTAGAATTAGAAAGTCATATTCCATTATTCATAGAATCAGGGTTGGTGTCACATTATCAATGTGATTAGAGTCCCCTAATCAACGGTATTGGAAATCACTGTGAAGAAGGCTATAATGTATAGTAAATAAAACAAACGCCAAGGGACATTGCTCTCACACATTTTCAAACTTTTACCCCCGCCTGTAGCTTATTCTCTACTCTGTGATTAACTTTAAATGTTATGGTCTGCTGCAGTGACTGTATATGTGTTTGACAGTACAAGATGTTCGACTGTGGTTCCAAGTCCCAATATGTTGGGGGGCAGCGAGAGAAGTTTGTAAGGTACTAGAATTTATTCTCCTTTATGGTTATTAATTTTATTTTCTTTTCACTTGATTTTTGCATTTTTTGAGTCTAAGGGCCCATTTGGATGTACAATATGAAATCAGATTGATATGAAGTTGAAGGTTTGTTTGGACATGCAATTTGGATTTCTTAAGTTGTATTTTTTTCCTCATAAACATGAGAACCCCTTAAGTTGTGAAAACTATCAAAATTTTCCCAATTCTTATATAATCTTACCAAATGAGCAAATCATAGTTTATAAACAAAATATTGGAATATCCTCAGGCTCCACATTGGTAAATCACATATCTCCAGGATCTTTTTATAAATAAATGTTTGCGATTACAAACTTTCAAATACACGTAATTTTATAAAGATTCATTAGTCAACAATATTTAGTAACTAGTTATTCTTTAATGTAATCCTCTCAATACGAATAATCTCTTCATGCTGAGCGTGAGTATTTTTTTTGCAAAATTTAAAATGGTAGTTCTTTTTTTTGTTGCAAAAGTCAAAATGAAATCATGTTTTTTTGGAAGAATTTGGGACTTGACATTTCAAATCAAGATCTCAAATCGCATGTCCAAACGCTGATTTGAGATCATGACTTCATATCGCATGTCCAAACGCAAGCTAAGTATCTTGTTTTTCACTTGTAACTTTTACCTACTCTCGCTGATTAAGTTAGGCTTAATACTATTGCAATGAGTTAGTTTCTGCACCCAAAGATGTGTGGCCTAGTGGTCAATAAAGTGGGAGGGGAACCATGAGGTCTCAAGTTCAAATTTCAGCGGAGACAAAAATACTAGGTGATTTCTTCCCATCTGTCTAAGCCTTGGTGGAAAGTTACCTGGTATCTTTTGTTGGTGGAAGGTAGAAGGTATCTTGTGAAATTAGTCGAGGTGCATCTTATTTTGTTGGATAAGGAGATTATTCCTTATTTTATATACAATATCTCACATTAAAAGATCAAGGGTGATTGGATGAATAGGTTATGCTGATGCTTGCTGGCTGTGCAACATGAAACAACAGGTGAACTGCTGAGGGAATGGGTGGGTTTTCATGCGCTAGCTATTATAAAAGCGGTGGGACATATATGGTTTGGTTTACATAATACCTTTATTGGCTTACATGATCATTGTTGGCTTTTACTATTATACTTTGCATTTGAAGGATTCTCAGGCCTAGTAGTTGAAGGCAATGAATCAGATATGATATTTTTGCAGTATAACAATTAAATTCTGATGAACGAGGAGACTTAACATTAACAGTGTGATTATACAGTTTTTTCACTGTTGATGTTCTTCCCTGATTATCTTAGCTTCTTTTTGGCATCTAATATTGCTTCTTCACATTTTGGTATAGGTTGGATGACTTGGATTCCAGACTATCCTCTCCTTCTGCATCACTTACAACAAATACATGTGGCTTCAACATTGAGGGCTTAAAACGTTCAAGCCATGCGACTAGCAGTCCGTCGAGGTCTTTTAAGAGAGGAGTGAAAAAAGGATCCGAAGGACTTAAATCAATTGGTCGATCACTGGGATTTGGCGTCTCCCGGGCTGTATTTCCTGAAGATCTGAAAGTTTCAGAGAAGAAGATTTTTGACCCTCAAGATAAATTCCTTCTGTTATGGAACAAACTGTTTGTTGTATCATGTATTCTAGCCGTGTCTGTGGATCCACTGTTTTTCTACCTTCCAGTTTTTGATAACAAGTCAAATTGCCTTCAGATTGATAGGAAGCTAGCTGTCATAGCCACTACCCTACGTACAGTGATTGATGCTTTCTATCTTATTCACATGGCTCTTCAGTTTCGCACAGCTTATATTGCGCCGTCATCTCGAGTTTTTGGACGGGGTGAACTTGTGATAGATCCTGCACAGATAGCTAAAAGATACTTGCGATTCTACTTTATCATTGATTTTCTTGCCGTGCTTCCCTTGCCGCAGGTTAAAAGAAATACATTTCTCCATATGGAAATTTTATTTGCTTTAGTAATCTACCATGCCTCTGAGGTCACAGATTTGAAAAAGATACGGAACTATTGTTATCCTTCTTAACACCATAAACTCTCTTTTAAAGGTTCTTGCTGATCTTATGTGTTTCCTGATTCTTTATATGTTAGGGCAGTCATCGAATGTTTTATGTGGGTTTAGTCTTTTGCTTAAACACTTTTTTTGCATCAAAGAACAGTACTGCTTATCAATAGGTGAATTTGTGTGTTCTAACTCACATTTCTTTTTATGCATCTATGCAGATTGTGGTGTGGAGATTCCTGAAGAGCTCAACAGGTTCTGATGTCTTCACTACAAAGCAAGCTTTGCTTTACATCATCTTGCTTCAGTACATCCCCAGATTTGCCAGAGTAATACCTTTAACTTCGGAATTGAAAAGAACTACTGGTGTCTTTGCTGAAACTGCATGGGCTGGTGCTGCGTCCTATTTGCTATTGTACATGCTTGCTAGTCATGTAAGCTCACAAGCAATCTCTTTTACTCTCTATGATATTTTTGTGTTTTTTATCTGTTTGTCGGTCTTTATGTCACTTCCTTTTCTTTTCCTCTTGTCTATGCAGGGGAGTGGGGCTAGCTAAGTATAGATTTGGGGAGGGAGGGTTAGAAGGCCTAGATTTCTTTCATTTTCTTATCGTAAAAGATTGGAAAAAAAGGCAAGAGTCCTGTGTTTCCAGTTCAATTGCTGGTGACGGTGGCACAATGGTTCACTTCTATATATATTATTTGCATTGTTTCCTGAGTTGAAATTTGGGATGGTTCACTTAGGGAAATATTCTTGCACTGTGTGTGTAGGTAAGATTATTCTAAGTTGAAAGTTTAGAATGTGTTAAGAGTCATGTCCTAGTGGCTTCTTTAGATCTGAGTCTAGTGAATGCACATTTGTCAATTGCATGGAGCACGTGAATATCGTTCATTTATCTGTTCATCTTTTTTGACTCGCATCTTATTTTATTACTTTTGAAAGATGACAAAGGCTAAACTTTTAGGTCCAAATGTATGATCATGATCTACTTTCTGCTTCATTAGCCATGTTTTTCACTTCCCTTTTGTATGTATTCTTTGCAGATAGTTGGGTCCTTTTGGTACTTGCTAGCTGTGGAACGCTATGATACATGCTGGCAGGAAGCTTGTAAACACAATGCAACGTGCAACACTGATTTCTTGTACTGTGGGAATCAGTACATGACGGGTTATAATAGTTGGAGCAGCATAAGTGACTCAGTTTTAAACAATGCTTGCCCTGCAGATAGTGACAACTCACCATTTGATTTTGGGATTTTTGATCAGGCTTTATCGTCTGGCATCATTTATTCCATGAAATTCGTGGTTAAATATTGTTATTGTCTGTGGTGGGGGCTGCAGAACTTAAGGTGAGTTTACTTTAACGCTCAGCTGATATTGTGGTTGTCTTGATTGCTATGTTGTTTCAGTCTTCATTTCCTTGGTTAATAGTTCTATCTTTAGTTTAAAGTATAAATTCACTAGTGAGAATGACTGGAATATGAAGTTTGATTCATGTTCCCTCCCCAATATCACATTTTTTGACTTACTGGCTTTAATATTTATCATCTGTGTTAGAATGTCTCATATTGGTTGAGTAAATGAGTTGTTGTCTCCCCATGTTACCAATTTTTTTTCTATAAAGAGTTGTCTCCTCGTATGGTCTTACGAAATTCTCAACTCAGGAGCAATCTTTCAGGATTGTGTTAGGTCTAAGTTCTATTTACTTAATATGGCCTTCAGACCCATCCCTACTGTTATTGATCTGTGAAATGTTGGACTCCTGCGATATATTATGCGATCTCCAGAATCTAGATGTCCAGCTCTTGGTGGGAATGGAGGGGGTTGGTTAGAATATCTCACATTGGTTAAGATAATGAGATATTGTCTCCTCATTTCGGGAAATCTTCACCTAATAAGCTAGCTTTTGGGTCGAGTTAGGCCTAAGGTTTATTTTCTTAACAATCTGAAATAACAATGCGCAAATGACCTTCGGGACACCTGCATCTCCTCACCCTAGGCATCCAGGCTCTGTCAGCTCTCCCTGAGTTGGGGTTGTCAGGTGGGGGTAGGGAGTGGTGTTTTTTCACATTCTCGAATGGTATCAGAGTAGAGAAATCTCGACAAAAGTATATTGTATTAGGAAGTGCAACTATCTGTCATTAGTTATAAAATGGGAGAAGAGAATTGTATGAAACAGAATGTGCACTTATACTCTGTTTGTCTGTACTTCTGTAGCAGAATGTGCACTTAAACTTTAACATCAATACAAAGCCATGAATTTCTTCAAGAAAACTCGAAGGATTTCTCTCGTGAAGACTCAGTTCTTTAAAGAGTTTATCATGGTAATATGTCTGAGGTTGCTGATTAAGTAAAACAAACAGTAAGTTTACTTTAGGCGGATAACTTTGATGTTGCTCTGGACTTCAATCCTTTTCTCCTTTGTTTAAATTGGTAACAAGTATTCTGGACTGCAACCTTCTGAAACTGTTTGAGGAATATGTTGAGAGTTACAATGGAGAAAAAAGTAGGTCTAATTATCAACCCTTAGAGCCGGGAAAAAGAAAAGAAAAGTACATGGTTGTCAGTGGACTACAATGCTTGAAAGCATATATTCGTGATAACACATGAAACTCAAGCATGCTTGGTTGTTTCATTTCATTGGATTTTCAATTTACGATAGTTGGCTTGCTTTCAAGGATAATAGAGGACTTACTAATTCCCTCTGTTTCAATTTATGCCACCCTTCTATATTTAATGAGTTTTTAGTTCCACGACTCCATGTGATTGTCACACACTTCACATTGGTTGAGGGATGGAGTATGCCACCTTTCTCTTACTATTCATTTCTATGACACTCATTTGTGGGTATATTGGGTATTAGTGATTTATTATTTACTCCCATATAATATAACCTCGAATGATTGTGCAAAAGAAGTTGTTTTTTTTACTTTGTTAGATATTTTCTATTGCATAGCATTCCATACCACTTCTAATTTCCTTAACAAAAATAACTTGTGGAGGTATGTCCAGTTTTACTATTCCAGTTTGATAGTTTACCGTTTTATCTTTATTATTGATGCTTTAATTATTTCCAAAATTCATTTCCTAACATTAGAGGACTTATAATAATTAGGGGTGATATGGTAAAATTCTCATTTTATTTATTGCTTCTTAAGGGGTGTGTCATGTCAAATATGGACAAAGAAACACGGACGGAGGGAGTATTAGTTAATTTTTTCTATTATAGGATCATACATCAAGAATAACAATATAGAAGAACCATGACCACTTCGAATCCCATTTCGTCATAGGTACACATTGTTAAGTAGTATGCTCAAAAGTTGGATTTTATAACAGAAAATTTACCAAATTAGAAACCGATGATCCTTTTTATGGAATGCTGAAATGCATTATTTTTGCTTGATAGCCCTGCTTCTGACATTTTGCATAATCTACTGCACAGATACTTGTAAAATGTAGCATTACCGATGGAATTGAGGAAACTCTTTTGATATATATTTACGCTGCATATCTGTTAAATGCTGTATTATTTGATTGACAATTGATCTCTGCTGAACTTGTATTAATGATAATCTCTTCGTTTTTCTTTCTTTTTGTTCTTTTCTTTCCATGCAGTACCCTCGGACAGGGACTTCAAACTAGCACATATCCCGGGGAGTCTATTTTCTCTATAGGATTGGCTATACTTGGGCTCATTCTCTTTGCATTATTGATTGGTAACATGCAGGTAATGATGGACTGAGAATTGTAGGTTTCTTTCTATCAGTTTCATTTGAGTTTATGCAGTAGTTATTGTCAATTTGACGGTGCTACCATCAAGAAAAGTATGTAATTAATAGTTATTAGTAGGATGAAGGAACATTGAAGCTTAACGTTAAGAGTTGGCTCGAAATAAAGCAACACTTTTTTGTTTATCAAATTATGAATTGTATGGAAAGCTAAAAAGTGAGATGTAGAATCACATGGTTACTATTTGCAAGATATCTATATTATGGCATTCACGTTCTTCGCAGTGCAGTGTTTTTGGTAATGACATTTGTATCTCTTTAGAAATCTGCGCTCAGATTTTGGTGCTTTTCTGTTACAGACGTATCTACAATCTCTTACTATTCGACTAGAAGAGATGAGAGTTAAAAGGCGTGACTCAGAACAGTGGATGCATCATCGATTACTCCCACAAGATCTCCGAGAACGGGTTAGGCGCTATGATCAGTATAAGTGGCAGGAAACACGGGGAGTGGATGAAGAGAATATAGTCCAGAGCTTGCCCAAGGATCTTAGGAGGGATATCAAGCGTCATCTTTGTCTGGCTTTAGTGAAGAGGGTAACCAATCAACTTATATATTTTTGTGCTTCTGTTACATTTACACACTTTTTTTCCACTTGTCTTTGAGCGGAATTAAAGTACGATTTCGAAATCCCAACTGAGATAAAACATTAGGTGATTTCTTCCCATCAGTCTAAGCTTTGGTGGGGAGTGTTATCTGGTACATGTTGCTGATGGGAGGTAGCAGGTATTCCGTGGAATTAGTCGAGGTGCGCGTAAGCTGGCCCCGACACCACGGTCATAAAAAAAAAGTCTATTCTGTTGTTTGATGGTTTCCCTTTTTCACAACTACATACTAATGAGATGATGGGAACTAGTTGAAAATGTTCACTCCACAACAAGCGTCTGGTTACTAACTGTTGTTGGAGTCGGATTCTATCTGGTTGTGTTTTTCTAATAATCTATTTGTCATTGATTTCAGGTTCCTCTATTTGAGAATATGGATGAAAGGTTACTTGATGCTATTTGCGAGCGTCTGAAACCATGTTTATATATCGAGAACACTCACATTGTTCGAGAAGGAGATCCAGTGGATGAAATGCTCTTCATCATTCGCGGCCGCCTTGAGAGTGTGACAACTGATGGTGGGAGAAGTGGTTTCTTCAACCGCAGTTTGTTGAAAGACAGCGACTTTTGTGGAGAGGAACTTCTAACCTGGGCACTGGATCCGAAATCCGGCTCTAACCTCCCATCTTCCACTCGTACAGTGAAAGCTCTGACAGAAGTGGAGGCTTTCGCTCTTACAGCAGATGAGCTGAAATTCGTTGCCAGTCAGTTCAGACGTCTTCACAGTAGGCAGGTTCAGCACACATTCCGTTTCTACTCACAACAATGGCGGACTTGGGGTGCTTGCTTTATCCAAGCAGCGTGGAGGCGGTACACCAAGAGAAAACTTATGGAACTCCAACGGAAGGAAGAAGAAGAAGCTGAGGCATTAGCTGCAGGTAGTGGCAGTTCTGGTGGCCCTACTTACAGTATCCGTGCAACCTTCTTGGCATCGAAGTTTGCAGCAAATGCCCTACGAGGCGTTCATAGGAATCGGAATCTCAAGAGTGCTAGGGAGCTGGTGAAGCTACAGAAGCCTCCAGAACCAGATTTTAGTGCAGATGCAGATTGATTTTGTTATTGCATATATGCTCATTTTGATTTTGGTGAGTTTGCAAAGAGGCTTTAATGTATAATTTTATGATTTACTGCAAGAATATTTGTGTAATTAAATATGGTTAGTATGACCCTCTAATTCAAATCTTTATTGAATTATAGCTATTTATATGAAAAATTATATGATGTTGATATGAACACCATTGACTATAACCATAGCAGAGAAAAAGAAAAGAACTTTGGTGATTTTTAAACATATGCTAGTCTTTGTACGTGACTGAATATTTAAATTATATACACCAATAGCGCTTAGATTTTGTGTTATTTCGAATACTTTGTAGCTGGTTAGTTATCATTTTTACCAGTTCTTGGTACAAACATCTTCATTAACAAAACTTCAAAATATAAAGGTCAAGTAAATAAGAGGATAAACTGACTAAATTAACAAATAAACCATCCTTTACGATTTTTTGGTACAAGAATAATATGGTCAACTAAAACATGCCGTAATTGAGGATTGAATAGCCCTAAAATCCTCTTTAAAATGTCTCCATACAGAAGGAAAAAAAAACTAAAAAGAACAAATAGATTCGTGGAAACGTGTTGGGTAGGTTACAGGAAGCAACTTTATACTATCAAAACCTGGAAGCAACAAACAATATTGGCCCACAGCATGATATATGCGGTCTCTCTGAGGAACTGCAATACGACACTTTAGTCGATCTTCACTGATGAGTAGATGAGCCTTGTGAACCAGAAGCAAGCGTAGAACCCGATTGTGCCAGTCAAGACAAAGAAAGCATATGATGCAATCAACATGTAGCCAAAGTAGAGCATACCAGATACGGGTTTTGTGATCTCGAGCTTTGTGAAGAAATAGAATGCTGCATACAGGAATAGGTAGAGAGCTGATGACCCTGAAGTGAGGTATGACCTCCACCACCAAAGGTAATCCTCACTGCATAGCTGGAAATAGCAGAGCACAATGGTAATCTCGGCACAGGTGACGATAAGGATGACGAGCACAATGAAGAGGAAACCAAATATGTAATAGAACTGCTGTAGCCAGATTGAGGTGAGGATGAAGAATAGCTCGATGAATACAGCTCCAAATGGGAGTATGCCACCGATGAGGATAGAGAATACTGGATTCATGTACCAGGCTTGCTCCGGTACCTGTCGAGGGATCTTATTTGTTTTCACAGGATCCTCAATAGATGGCTTCTTAAAACCAACATAACTGCCAACAAAAACGAGTGGTACAGCTATGCCAAACCACAAGAAAACTAATGCAAACATGGTTCCAAAAGGCACTGCCCCTGATGATTTCTCTCCCCAAATTAGAGCATTCAACACAAAGAAAAGAACGAAAACAACTCCGGGGAACATGAGTGCTGTCTTAAGAGTGATTTTCTTCCACTCAGATCCTTTGAACATCTTGTAAAGGCGGGCTGAAGCATAACCAGCAAAAACACCCATGAAAGCCCAGAGAAGCAGCATTGCTGTCATCAATCCTCCCCGATTTGAAGGGGATAAGAATCCAAGGACAGCAAATGTCATTGTAACTACTGTCATTCCAAAGAACTGGACACCAGTACCAACATAAACACACAACAGATCAGAGTTAATTGGAGGCCTAAAAACATCCCCATGGACCAATTTCCATCCTGTTTCTTCTTGAGCCTCTTCCTGGGTCTCCAACTGATTATACTTGGAAATGTCACGGTAGAGGGTCCGCAACATAATCATTGCTACCATGCCCGAGAGGAAAAGAACAATCATCAATGAGTTAACAATTGAAAACCAGTGGATCTGATCATCAGCCATTAGCAGATATGTATCCCATCTTGATGCCCACTTGATATCACTTTCCTGAGAGTTGAACAGATACGAGAGTTACAAATTCATCACAACAGCTAGTTTGCATGTGCAATTTATGTTGCAACAAACTTCCTTTTAATTGTTCATGATGAATTTAACTTGTTCAGAAGTAAAATATCGTCTTGAGAAAGTTTCATGAGAAATTCAATATTAAGTACCATTTAGGAAGCAGAGTGCAACAAGAAAAATAAACAGCATCACCAGTAAAGTCATTAATAGGACATGGGAGGTACTTTTGGGCATAAAATATAATGGCTGACCAGGGTAGTCAGGCTAGTAGTATATGCACTTAACCAGTAGGTGAGTCAACACGGAGACTTAAAAAGATACAACATTATCTCCATAGTTAGATGTGTTATACCTCAAATTCAACATCATATGTGAAGATGATTTCCTTCTTATCTTCAACCTCTTGGGGAGAATCAGAACTTGTAACAGTACGCTTGGCATGGGGATCACAAGTGGTCAATCGGTTTTTGCCATTCCATTCCCCATCATATTCGTGTTTCACACTGGAAAAGAAAAACACAATTTACATATCAAAATTCATGACAAAGAAACAATAATTGAAGTTGAAACATATAAACTAACACAAAATTACCTGAATGGTTTCACTTCAAATCCTACAACTCTCGCAGCATCAGTTTGTGGATCCTTGTGAAACTTGACAGTGAACGTCAGATGATTATGGATGAAATGCTTCTCCTCCTTGCTCTAAAGAGTAGAAAAATGCAGAGGAAATAAGTTCACAATGCCTCCAGAGTATTTACAAACCAAAAATCACCAAAAGAACATTGAAGTAATCTGATACATACTCCAGCATATTGTCCCTTAAGACCAACATGGAAACCATGCTGGTAGACTGTAGTGTCCAGATCAGGCCTTTTAATAGGCATAACAAGAGGAAGATTATCCAAAATCCTGTTAAACGTCACATCTCATGTTAGACCCAATAATACAGAATCAGAAAAGAGGAAACAAAATTTAATATGCAGAGTCCACAAGAGATTTCTCACATGTTGACCCGATACTCATCTTCAATCTTCTCCTTTAACTCTTTGGCATTTTTTGCATTAAGAACAATACGACACACAACATTGCACATCTGTGGTTCTCTCATATGGAACTGCACAACACATTGTCCAGTCAAAACAAACTCCCCCTTGTTAAAAGCATCACACAACTGCAAACTGGGAACCCAGCACAAACCTCCACACCCTCCACAAAGAAAGGGAACAAAGAAAAAGCAGGGAAAAGACACACATCTGAGACAAGTAACTAACCTCAAAAGGAGAATTCTCAATACGATCACCACGAAGAACTTCACCAAGATTCTCTGCACTGTCAACAATTTGTTTTGGCGTGCAGTAAGGGAGGGAATAATAGGAATAAGGAAGCTGTGTTTTTGTAGAGGTCAACTTGTTGACTTTCACCATCAGAGGGTCACCCTGCCCCAAAAAAAGAGAGGTAAAAGAGATCAATTTTAGACAAAAGAACATTTTTGACCAGACTGACTTAGAAATTTTAGCAGTCAGAGGAGCTTTTCAAATGTGGATACTGGGAATCATCATTTAACTTTAAGAAACTTGCACATAATTTCTTTGGACAAGAACAAGAAATACTTGATAAAAATTAAAACTTTTCCCTGCATTCTGTCTACCAAGAACGTCTCTCACTGACATTGCTCCTAACATTATTAGTAACAAAAGAAATTTCCTTTTTCATTATATCAATCTACAGAGGTATAATCTGCACAGCACTTATTCCGACAACAAAGCATACTCACTTAACATCTGAACCGACAACTAAAACTCTCAACAAGGACAACAACTTATACACCACCATTCCAAGCTAGCTAAGGTTAGCTATATGAAATTTTAGTCTCCAGTTCGCTTAATTTGGTCCCATTTCATTCCGATATTCAAATGACACTGTTGTTATTAACTTTGTATTATATCTTTTATAGAGATAAAATATTCAAGAATTTCCTGATCCTTTGTGGACACAATGAACACTGGATATAGTATATCAATCAAAGACTAAAAGTAAAACCAATAAACACAATGAAAAGTTAGTGGTGGTAATCAGCCGAATGCAAGGCAAAGACACAATACATGAAACACCAAAGACATCCTAATTAAAACCATTGGTCCAACTTGCAGGCATAGACAATCGAAACGCCCATAAACTCCTGCGCTCAACAAATGTTGGATAGTGGGATCAACCATTTGTATATTACATTCGAAAATAGAATGTTGATAATACTTTTTTTTTAATGAATAGAATGTTGATAATACCCGATTAGAACCATGTGTTTCTTTTGTACAAGGGGAAGTTAAGATTCAGACCACAACAAACACATCAAATCTAACAGAAAAAAAACAGTAAAAACTACAGACACTTAACGACCAAAACCACTAAAATCCATGTAATGATTTGCATAGATCTAACAGAAACATAGCGCTACATGCAATCGGTCAAGCTTACTAAATCTATATCATTCCACTCTCAAACTTCCTAATCTACACCAGATCTAACATATAAGCCGACAAATATCCAAATCAAAACTTGTATCACCAAATAGCACATGTATCAACAAAATAGAATCTGATTACATACTGTATAACAGCACACAAACTAGAATCGAGATCAACAGAGTACAATGAAAAACATCAATACAGACGGCAGCAAACCCTGGATGCCTTTTGGGAGCACTCATTTCTATCTCTAACCTCCAATATCGCCACAGAATAATGTAATTACAACAAATCGCACACACAAACACACATAAATAACACCAATAGCACAAAATATTAGCATCGAGATCAACAAAGGAAGCTCATTTATTCCTCCATCGTTATCTTCAACCACTAATATCTCCACATAATCATGTAATTACAACAAATCGCGCACATAACACATAAATTAGCATCGAGATCAGTAAGGAAGCTCATTTTTTCTCCAATTTTCTATCTCAAACCTCCAATATCTCCACATAAACATGCAAATACAACAAATCGCACACAATACACACATAAATAGCACTAATAGCACAACAAACAGCATCGAGCTCATATTTTCCTCATCATTCAATCTCAAACCTCCAATATCTCAATATAATCATCTAATTACAACAAATCCTACACTACAGCTGGAAAAACTCACCTTCATGAAATCCTGCGGAGCAACACCTGGTAGATAAAAACATTGAGCTTCAAATGAAACCAAACATAACAGCACAAAAACCGAGATCCACCGGTGAATCAACTGAGGCCTTACGACCTCCATAGCTCTCTC